AAAGAAGAAGAAGAAGAAGAAGAAGAAGAAGAAGAAGAAGAAGAACAACAACAACAACAACAACAACAACAACAACAACAACAACAACAACAACAGCAATAATAGTAACAACAACAACAACAACAACAACAGCAACAACAACAACAACAACAACAACAGCCACAACAACAACAACAACAACAACAACAACAACAGCCCACCCACAGTGAATCAACAAGACCCATGCTACAGTACCCGACAAAGACTGTATCTCGAGCAATTACCCCAGATCTGTAGGAGCGGCCTCTCTTGACCTTTGACCCCCACACACAAGGCAAGACGGCGCTCCTGAAGCAGCACAAATTAGCCAACCAATTATCCCCGGCATTTCTGCTTGATTCTCGACTTGTTCAGCGCGTGACTTCAGAACAAAATGTGAATTGCAAATTCAGCAGAACGTAATTGAGTTGTCCAGAATCCACTTTCGATTGGACCCCGGGAAACCAGAAGGCTCACAGTCCTGGGGAAGATGCAGGAAGGGCCTTGTCTTTTGTCCATGGGGATGTGACGTAACTGTGACGTAACTGTGACGTAACTGTGAAGTAAATGTGACGTAAGTGTGGGGTAAATGTGACGTAGCTGTGACGTAACTGTGACGTAAGAGAACTGGAGGGGCAGAGGTAGGAGAGGATGGCTGGGGTTGGTTGTTTTACAGTAGTCAAACCTGTGTAAGACGGTCACACACTGTGTAAGACGGTCACGCACTGTGTAAGACGGCCACACACTGTGTAAGACGGTCACGCACTGTGTAAGACGGTCACGCACTGTGTAAGACGGCCACACACTGTGGAGGGGGGAAGTGGCTGTATAAGACAGGTGGACGTATAAGACAGGTGGACGTATAAGACAGGTGGACGTATAAGACAGGTGACCGTATAAGACAGGTGGCCGTATACGACAGGTGGTCATATAAGACAGGTGGTCGTCTGAGATCCCCACTGGAGGCCTAGAACTGCCTGAGGGCGGATTAAAATCTGTTTTTTGTTTGTTATTTTTTTCTCTTTTGAAAGTGGGGGGGGGATAGGATAGTTTTTGTTGGACGTTTTGTTGTTAGTTGGGTTTTTTTGTCACTGTTTGGGACAATTCTAGTTCCGGGAAAGGTAAAAAAAACAAACAAATGTGACAGACGAGGAAGACCAAGTGCCACAGTAAAACAATCAAATGTGACAGACGAGGAAGACCAAGTGCCACAGTAAAACAAACAAATGTGTCAGACGAGGAAGACCAAGTGCCACAGTAAAACAAACAAATGTGTCAGACGAGGAAGACCAAGTGCCACAGTAAAACAAACAAATGTGTCAG